CACTGCACATACAGAAATGTTCGTTTAAATCAGGGGCTTGACTGCGCCTCTCTCAATATTGTACACATAATGGGCATACTCGTTTTTTATTTCCTAATTAGTATTCTAGAATCCCCTGTGAATAGTTAATTTTATGAGATGTCTACCCACCTTGAATAAATTGTTGGCAAAGTGTTTTAACAATTATATGGTTTAATTACTACTAGCAGTCTAAAACACACAAATAAATCACAAACCTGAACATATCAAATAAGTCACAGGTGTTAATGGCTACAATTATCAACACTAGCAGTACAAGAGATGATGTAAAATATTGTCATTCTCAAGTACAAACATAAATTGGTACTTATCTCATGCCATATACATGTATCTACCATCTATCAAGGGACTACACGATTAAAACAGTGCACTGACATGGCATACCGCACCAGACCACACCTTACCATTGCTATTATGGCTACTAATTGTTGAAATACATCATATTAGTGTGATACAATGTGATTGTTATCATCATATCAATTTGAGTGACATTTTAACTCTAAACCACGTTCAGTTAAAATAGGATCACTGACATTGCTATGGAGTAATGTAATCAATATTCCAGAACGGTACTCAGCGAGCAAATCACAAAGAGTAGAATAAATTGGAAAGTGACACATGATTGCCCCAGGTACAGATATTTAGATCAGACGAATTATTGATAAATTATCACAACAAATACAGTCAGTATTAGTTGGTATAATTCACAGATTTGAAATACATACCCAAGAAGAAAATTACAATACAACAAACAATTTCTGTAAACAGAGAAAAATAACAACAGTTTGAATTCAGTGTTCGTCTGTATATTGTTCAGAAATGACCCATGGCTGAATAAGGAATGCAACACAGGAAACCAATTTGGATTGCAATGGCCACCTCAGATCATATTGCACAGTCACAGTCCACTTATATTTCTAACAGGCGACACTGCCTCACTGACACTGTGTGCAGAAATTCAAATTCTGTGCTTGGTATATCAAGAGTTTGTTTTAAACCTCTAGAATAAACATTAACATAACACTAATGACCTATCACCCAAAATATACATACACTATAGCAGACATCTTGTGTAAAAACAACATGGAACAAAAACTCCAATGTAATATGCATCTTGCGTTTCACACAGCTTACCTGTCGTTTTAAACTTTTTATGTATTCAATTACAGAGTAAAGCATACTGACTGTACTTAACTGAATTACTAAATCTCTACATGCATGTCTGAGAGGCCATCTTAAGGGGAATAATAAATCCAATATTTCAATCTATTATATGGTTCAATCAAGTTTAAGTCCTCGAACCATCAGGGTAATCACAGTAATAATCCATCTGACTTGAAAATCAATTGCCATTTAAACTATCGGTACTGAGTATTAGTACTTATTCAGAAACGTACAAAGATATTAACTAGTCCAACATATAGCGCAGTAAAATGCCAGTTCTAATTTCTTATTTAATGCTCAGAAATAAACTAGATTAAATTCTGTTTGCATTAATTTATAAACCAACATTATTTAGGACTACTTAAGACAGTGTTGTCAGTGTTATTAAGATTGTCTAAGCACCTTATTTTTTGTGATTGGTTGAATTATCGAGAGTTCAACTGTGACAGTTGTCAAGCAAAATCCCTAGATACGAGAGTGAAAGGTATAGCATTTTGTGCTTGGTCAACACGATGATTTCAAGGCAACACCACCCTACATTGTTTTGTCAATGAATGTATTGGCTATTGTGAACACCATCAATTTTCGCCTCTGGAATGTCTCTCAATGTTGAGTGACAAGCAAAGATGCGTTGATAGCTTCAGGCACGACATCAATCAAAGCCAGATCAGTAGTAAGGGAAACCACACATGCAGGCAAGTCATTTGGCATAATATCATCAGTCTGAGAATGAAATTTTCTTCATATTACACTATACTTGATTCATAAATTATTTTTATTTGACAGAATCGCATAAATGCCTAGTTTTTGCTTGCCTTTCCTGTCATGTCCCAATGTGACGCCCAGTTTGTTGAATTGCACATACATTTTTCAGCAAGCATAGAAGCTAGCTGCAGGCTTAATAGCCGCCGTCTGCTTACTAGCTGCCTACTAAATAATGTGCATAAAAAAACACAATTGCTGCCTATTTTCTTGGTTGAGCCTTCCGGGCAAAATCTTAAGAAAATCCCTGCCACTCAAAAGCAGATATTTTTTGTGTGAAAAGAAAACTCAATAATTATTACCTATTGTGTACATGTTGTGTTTATAAGAACATATCATGATACAGTGAATATACAGTGAATAATAAACATTTCAAGGTAAATATACACAACCAATCAGCCATGAGTTCATACAGTTCTAATTTGCATAATTAGGATGTTCCTTTATATTGAAAGTGTAAAACAATTCCAGCCATGCAAAAAGTGAATTAATTTAATAGGTGGTGTGTTTGGTTGGTATCTTCACACTTCATGTTGTTACCAAGCGTTGGATTAAATTAAATTATTAAATTTTGAATGCGAAGGAGATTCAGTGAAGAGAATCTTTAATATTGACTGACAGATCTGTAGAAAATGAACAGTTCTAGTCAGTTACTTTACAGACTGTATTGATTTTCCACATGAGTTGCTTGCAAGAATTAACAAGCCATGAAGATACATAAAGCTAGCCCCCTGGATTGCATCATATGCATGTACCCTGGATTGCTAGACATTTTGTAGCACATGTACCTGTGTGTCAATGTCTCTTGAGAAACAAAAGGTGAATGCACTTTCACTGCTGAAGTGACATAGTAATGTGTACATGCAATGAGAGTCAATTATAACAAAGGTCAAATGTTTTATTCAAGGAATAAAAAAAGAAGACTGACTAACATAAAACTGATAAAAGTTGCCAACTACCGATAAATTTTGGGAAAAGTCACAGACATTGTACTAACGAATACAAATCAATCATTGGAAACGAGGTCTTGTACTTTTAAATAAAACAGACAATAATTCATAAATATATTTCACATTTGTGACATCAATCACCATCTGCATGCTTGCCATTCATCCATCTGCAGAGCACACACGTCAAACATTCCAAACAGCATTTTTGTGCCATCCTCATGGTGTTTTCTTTTCATCTCTCAACATAACACTAGCCTGTCAGATTAGATGAACTCAACATGCACATGCCTTCACAATAGACACACAGTCCCAAAAAATCAAAATATCTATGTATACCGCCGGTAGGTACAATGTCCATGGCCATACATTTTTATTTGATTTTACTTGTTTTTATGAAAAAAAGTTCAAATTCTATACATAGGCATAATTTTGCACAAAAGATTTACTATCATATTATTATAGATGTTCTTATAATGAAAATGGCAAAACTTGTCATAACTTTTGTCAAATATCATCCAATTTTCATGTTGTTTACATTTCTGATCGAAATCGAAAAAATATCTATCACAGGTTTCATATCTTTGTTGGCAGAAGTCAACAGAATCACTGTGCATACAAAATAACAATTAGCCCAAAACAAAAGTTGGATAAAAATCTGTTCACTATTCTTTTTTGAGCTCTACGGTAGTATGGCAATGACCCAATGTGCATACTCGGTATAACAATTACCAGTAATGAAAAGAATACTGGCAATAGAAGTATTGTGTTAGTGTTGTCATCAACACCAAGCTAACAAAAGGTCCTTGTTACAGGAGGAATCAATATCATTTCTAGCCTTGCATATGGCAACAAGAGGTCATCAATAAACAAAGTTCATGGTATAACATTCCCATCTTAGTAAAGACCTCCATTAACTGAGTCTTCACAGCTATTATCACATTACATGACAGTTACTCACATGCGACACAAGAAAGTAAACTAAGGTAAAACACAGAGCATTTATTTTATAATGAGAGGCATAAAATCTAGAAAATTAAACACTTCTCCCGTCGGGTTTTCTCGTTTCATGCAGGTACAAATATACTAAATCAACAAGACATTGACACAGCTGTAACAGTAACATCAATAGCAGATTGGAAATGGACATAGTGAAATGATACATACCAGCATATATTGATTAATTAATTCAATACTAAATGAAAAGTCAAATAATATGACATAGTACAAATAAGAACATTGAAGCTGTATAAACAGTTGTATTGTAGGCAAAACTTAATTTAATTTTGAGAAGGTTGATCAAAAATCATACAAGAAAGTTATGGCATTCGCAAGTTTTTCTGATTGAAACCAGGCATAATGTGTCATTTATGAAATAAACTATTTATTTATCACTACAATAAATCCCATCTTGCAAAGCTGTTTGAATTCTGTTTCAGGTAAGCACTAAACACAACTAAACTAGGAAGTACGTGATGTTTGCTGTTGAAAGTTCACATGGATGCATTGGCAACATGGATATCAAATGAAAACAAAAGGAAGGGATCTAATGGTTACTGTAAAATACTTTATTTTTTACTGAAAAGACATTTTTGGTGCTTTGTATGGAATTTTTGACAAGTTGAATGTAAAATATAGGAAAAAAGGTATATTCAACGGATTTTACATTCACTGAATCATTCCTTCAGCTAAAATAGCGAAAATTAATTCCAAGCGAAAATAAAGTACCGTATTTTGCAGTATAAAAGAAACCACTCACAAGTCATGTGCACATCTCAGGCTAATCTTAATGGAAAATGCTTCACAACGAATATCAATTTTGTAATATACTATATTTTTCATCATCGACAGAAAACCCACCATGGGATTCGGTTACTTGATGATGCCCCCAAGATGCTAAAAACTCAATCACAACTGAATCCACGAAACTGCTAGATGATATTGGGCTATTGGCAAAGAATTTCTGATGCGGATATCTTAGGAATACCATAGCTGTTACATTTATTACAGTAAACATATTACTTGACATGTCAACGCAATTTTTGCCAACAATATAACTTTAATAATAGACTATTATGAAATACTAACCTGATAATAGGATTTAATATTCCTCATAACTGTATCCAAATTTTGGATTCGTAGATTGACATCCCCATTGACCTCTCGGTTGACCCTAATATTGGTAGGTCGAGGGTCACTGCAATATAAAGACATCCAAATATGAAAATGTATAGGTACACATATAACATTACCATCTTGTATTTCAGTAATTAATAATTTTGAAAAATAACCCCTTTTACCCCCCTAATTGACAGGTCAAAAAGATCAGTCATAGATTATGTTTGAATATGTCCCTTAGTTAAGGAAAGCAAAGGAAACCATTAGATGTACTTTGATACGTCTGATGTCTACCCATTTATCAGCAACACTATGTGCGACAGTAATTCAAAACACTTCCTTGCATGTTCTTAACAAGTCAGCTGTGAGTACTAATGATGTACAAGCAGCTGGTCACAATGTAGGATATTTTTATTAGCAGTATAAGAATATTGGTTTCAATTTTGTCATGATACACTTGCATGTCCATCATTTCAATAATTTATGTGTGGCTGTTATTGTATATCCACATATATGCAGTTTTAATTTCACCTTCAGTTAATCATAAACAAATGCCCATGACAGCGAACATTTTGAGAAAAAGCTTTTTTTCCATGCTAGCAAATAATACCAGAAGTAAAAAAAAAATATTTTCCAAAAAATAAAAAATATCAACAAAACAAAATAGTGTTAATTTATTCATTGGCTATCCAAGCCATCTTATAACAGTTCATAACTCATCAATATTATGCACAAATACAGAGTCCAATCTAAACATAAGGAATGTTTTATTAACCACAAACTATTTAGCTACTGTCTGTATTAGAAGCTGCATCCTTAATAGAAGCCGCACCCATTCTCTTTGAACAATTGAGAACCAAAAATTAACCACATCTCGTATGTACAGTTACTCTAATAAAAGCTGTTTCCCTTCCGTTGCACTGTACTATTTTAATAGACACCACAGCTAATACAGATTATACAATGACTGCAATCAAATGATGCTCACTCATTGCACTATGAAGTCACATATTGGTTAGTTGTTAAAATAATGTGATTCATGTATTTGTAATCTACCACACTGTCAGTTACAAAAACACCACATGAACTTCACTTATTTGCTAAATAATAAAGTTTAAATAAAAAAAAAAATGTTGCAGAAATGTATTTGTCATGATATAATTGCAATCACCATTGTTCACTCTTGGTATGTCCCATGACACTCCTCATACCAGTATGTTGCGTTTCTATGCAATACATTGTGATATCGCAAGCCATGGTTTGTTGTTTCATTATATTCCATCAATGCAAACTATTTCTGGAGCAAACAAAAATATGATACCATACATTTCACACACTGCCCATTGTAGGAATCTGACCAGGGAATCATTGCACACATCCCAACTTGCATGCTCTATAAAACTAACCTTATCACGAAAAGCTGACTTTGTACTCAATGAAATGTACAAGGCAAAGCACAACATGGAGTACAAAGTTTGCTATAAATCCATTATTGGTCACAGAAATATATTAGGTTATACCGGTAGATATTTTGCCAAAGTAAAACATATATACTTGACCTTTGACCCCTCCCTTATTTGTCATAATGTGTAACAACCTGCTACTACAACAAAATTCCTACCACTAGTACAATGTTACTATTTTTTTTTTTTTACGATACTGATTTAACATGAGCATGAAATTGGCAAGGTGGGATGACTCATATTAGTCTAGTAGTACTTAAATTGGCAATCTTAAAATGAAAATAAATTTTAAAATACTGCCTGTAACTAAAAATTTGACTTGCAGCTGCAATGATTAGATGAAGAACAAACAGTTTCCTGACAATGATTACCAAATCATTCCATTGCACTCTAGAAACAGTTTTAAGTGCAGCAGCTGAACAAAAATAGACTGACACGAAGTAACTTATCAATTCAAAGAAATGCTGAAAATAATAGCATTTGAACATCAAAAATGCTTAAATTTAAGTAGTAGACGTTTCCTTTAAAGACGAGTGATCAATTGCAATTATTAAACACATGAAAAATTATTTCTAAAAATATTTATATAACTTGCTTTCACTCTCCAGTCATTTTCAAAATGCAAAGCCTGAAGTAAAGAGCAGTTCCATTCTAACCAGTTACATCTGTGATGACTATTGTATTGACTGCATAAGGGTGGATCATGAGATTAATCTTATTCACATTACTGTATGTGTTAAGAATCTAAAGCCACAAAAGTCAGTTTAAAAAGGACCCCCTGGATTTCAATTTGTACACCTCTAAGCCTGTTATAAAAGTAACAAATATTTAATTGTACTATGTACTGCATATTTTCAATTCTACCCACATCTCAAACATACAGATCAAACATCTACATGAGATACAACAATCCCATTTGACTAACTGACTTTTTGCAATTAGAAGTTTGTACACTCAGTTGAATTATAAGAGTCCTCAAAGCATCATTGCTATAATTAGTAATTTGATGTGTTACACAACAGATCAGTAAAAACATTTTTTTGACCATACTGATACATGTATGAATTATTATAATAGGCAGATAATATGTGTCATTGAGTGGTGCAATCACTCCACACCCTATATTATTTATTACAGGTGGAGTTTGCACCCGTGGCATTGAGCGTGCAATCTTTTTATCATAATTCACTCTACACTCTGCCTCATCAGTGGGTTGCCGAATACGAGTGCACGCTACTTCATTATGAATAGTCAGGTGCGCATTATAGTACCTATACAGGACAAATGGAATTCTAATGAAGGTCAGATCAGTAAACAACTAATATCACTACACTACATGCCGTTCCTCACTTGAACATTGCGTCAAACAATGGACATCACAAAGTGAGAATACCCACAACTACAAGCTCTAATACTACTATTTAGCGCTCAGTGTTTTGACTTCACTTGTAGGATTTCTGAAGTTTAAAGATTCAACCAAACATTCAAGTATATGTAGTAGCAGGTTACTGCAACAATAGCTTTATTTAGAGGCTAGATTCTTTGGAATTTCAACCACATTTAAATGACCTGCTTATCTTTGGTTTCTATAGTAACTAAGTATATCTCTTCTAAAGTTTTACAGAGAGAAGATGCTTTATTTATAAACAGTTCAATTGTTTTTAATTGAAAAATTGTGAACATTCATAATTAAATCACCTATAATGCTAGTGTGTAAATTGCTGTGCATTCATACTGTAAACCATATACATGTAATTTCCACTGCTAGAAACTTTGGTGATTTCAGAGTTGCATGTCATTTGTGAAGACAACATTCGACAAAAGCCACAGTCGTAGAAACCCAGAGAAATTTCACTGATACTAAATTTTACGATTTTCACTGACACTAGCCAAATTCGCTAAAATTTGTCTCGCAAAATTAAAGTGTTTTACAGTATTCACCACATACACATTACCTCCAGAAACAATCTATAAAAAGAAATATTTAGTGTTTTACTTGCATGTTTCACTGACAAGCTAAAATTGATATGTCAGTCACACATGCAGAAATGGAGGATTAACTCCGAGGGGAGTTTCTGCATTCTCTGGACATTCACATAGTTTTGTTGATAATGAGGGATATGACAATAAATATATTGAGGTCAATCTGAAAACAACATTGTCCTGAGGCTCATGTTAGGAACACTGCATTCCAGGCAACAAATGCACTATGGGCTACAATTCAAGAATTAATCACGGACTTTTGCCGCTTAATATAGTGCCAAGGGTGTGTTTTGCTGTCATCGCCTATTTCGATGCTGCGAGGAAAAATAGTGAATCTGTTATGAGTCATCAATGAACCATGAAACAACATAACGTTATGGCAATCCACAGAATGCGCCGTGTTTTGACAGCGGTCATGTAGCTAAAACATTTATCAACTTTTGCTGCCTTTAACTTTACTTACATTTGCAACATAATGTCGTTAAGGAATACACCGTCAGCGAGGTCATTGAAGTCCATTTGTTTGCCATCGTCTTTGAATGCTGCCACCTGAAGAGAAAAACGAAACGAAACATGCCAGTCTGTCATATTTTTTGTTGTTGCTCTATGCTCTATTAGTATAAAACGATCAAGAGCGGACGAAACTCAACAGATGCAGAAAATCCTGTAATGCAATCTTACCCAGACTGTTAGAGGGTGTTTCATGAATTCAGCTGCGACTGCCATGTTTTAAATAGATGACTCAAACCCCAGAGCTCATGAGATCGATAATGTATACAAAACGCGTTCAGATCCGCGAAATAAGTACTATATTTCTAAATTCCTCGAATATGCTGAGTGCCAGTGATCCATGGATACTGCGATTTAAATCCCAGGTAACTCTTAAAGGCCATATACTGTATACACAATAACTACGTGAAGTTTTCGGTTGAGCACTTCCGACGCTCTGCCACCCAGCGAAGGCCAGACGAAGAACTGACTGAGAAGTCAGTGAGTAAACAAACGTGGTAGCCAGTATACGGCGCCGACTTTTAGAAGTAATCCAATGCCCGAGTTCAGCCCGATACGAGGATGAGATTTACTTGACGGTGGAATAAACTCGTCAGCTAACAACATATAGTTTCGCCTTTCCCCGTCATGCTGAGTCAACCGAGGTGAATTCAAAGTTGTAAGTATGGTAGTGCAGATTACAGAGTATTGCAACCAATCACATCCGACGCCATCCTGACCTCACAACTGACATACTGCGCAACCAGGGACGAGTGTATCATTCCGCAAGTTATAAAGTTCCGCTAAGATTAAGAATAATTGTTGGGCTATCTGTGCCCGTAAACATCGCCTTTTCGCTTTAGAGATTTAGTAACATACTCCAAAGAGTACACATATACACATATATCCTACATTTAAGCAGAAGAGTTGAAATACGGCACACCGTATTGGTATAACAGCTGTACAACTGTCAATAAGCGTATGGATACAAATTATTGATCACGTGATTTGTCAAACTTGCTTCTTCAACAGGTGCTATAGAGGGCGGTATACCTGAGCAGGTATAAACTACCCGAAGAAAGATAAGTTGTTACAAACTCCGGTGGAGATGGTAGATTTTGAAGTTGGAGAAGACAACCATTCACAAACTACTTGTAAATCAAACGAACAAATCACATACATTATACTAACTTTATTTATAAAAAGAACAACAACAAAAATTCTTACTGCAACATCCAGAAAATCTCGGAGAGAAATGCGGGGGTTCTTTGGAGATCATCTAATGAAATGAAAGTAGTAAAATACGTACGAAATACACTTCTGTATGTTAGTACTATAAATTGTAATAAGACGTCACCTACATTTCAGAAACTCAATAACACACTATCAGGAAATGTACACCCTTCTGAACACGGAACATAACACTCGTACAGTTTCGATTGCAATGTGTTATCATAAATTGATCGGAAGTAGTTTTCTTGACATCAACTTATTACGAATAACTGTTACAATGTACCTTATTTGGTTTGATCCAGCTAATGGTTGTAATGTTGTCTTATTCTGTTTTATTTCTGTTCACCGAACATAGAGTAATACAATAGACCAAAATGCATTGCGTCCATTAACAAAAATATGATCCCGGGCGCCTTACCTTCTGTTGGGTGAACATTATTGTTATCCTGAATTCTTGCTTTCTGTTAAAAAACAATTCATAAAAACTGCAATTGGATAATGATTTTAAAAAAACACACAAAAAACTATGTATTCTATCATAGACCTATTAGGTCTATGATTCTATATATAAATATAGTACGTAGGTATGTACGTGTAAATAAGTTACTTGATATATATTTCAGTACCATTGGAATTTGTATTATGTAATTTGTACTGTTAGAAAGAAACAATCAATATATATCGCCATATGAAAGGCACACATACAGTAACTGATTGAATGAAGAAAATCACAAACGTAAATATGCTACGAAATATAATTGCAACAGATAGTTCAATTATATGCAAAATGTTGCAAATACATTGATCTTAACCGATCGCGCCGCGTGATTACTCGGAGAATGAACTCGTTTGGTAGATTATGCGTCAATCATAGCTCGGGCGACGCATAATCTAACGAACACAATTTCATTATCTATTACACATTTCATGATATTTTAAACCGGATCATTTGAAATTAATGCGGATATGATTGTTAGATATGTTTTTATTTTCCAGATAGACAATATATATTTGTATATTACGTACTATGTAAATCAATGTGATTGTTACGGCATATAAACCACGAACATGTGCTGTGACCATCAATTCAACGCTCTTTCCAAAAACAATCTCTAATATTTGTGGTACTCATTCAGAAAGCTACAAGAGTCAAGGAGGTGTTCTAGCACTTGATTGGACAATACCAATAACCCATAGCATGCCCGGTAGTGGTTTTCATCAAACGAATACATTTTTAGTTTACTATAATTCGTAAATTAGTGTCAAAAAAACACACAAAAAGACAACAACAAAAACAACAAAACTTGTAATTGTCCTAATTCATCGCTATTGAAAATAAATAAGGGCTAATACATAAACTCCGACTCTCTTGACTTGCATTTTTATTTTCAGATGTCTGAGTT